CCCCAAAACCCCAAAACCCCAAAACCCCAATATAAATATAATCTGGGAACTAATTATTATAAAAATGAAGAAGTCACTCCAGTTAATTGTGATCCTAGCATTTTTAGCCTGTGCACAAGCTGTGATAAACTCAAAATTAGGTAGTTTTAGATCACCTCCAGATTTAAGACTGTCAGTCAATATGTTCAAAATAGAAAAGCATATGAAGTTTCTTGTTCCTTTCGTCAGATCAGCTGGGCTTTTGTTTATCGCTCTTGGAAATTACAACTTACCCTTCAGAGAACTGTTTAGGTTCTCTGATGAATTGGTTACAGTTATCCTATCTGTCTTCCATTGCAAAAATCTGAGCTGATTATCTCCTGCATATGTATTGACCAAAGGCTTTAATGAATTCAGACATTTCTCTAGGAGCTCGATATCAGAATTTGATTATGGATTTTAAAGAGCTTGCATGGAAATATGGAAAGAAGTTATTTGGAATTATTAAAAAGATCATTGATACTGAAGGGATGGCTACTTTTGATGAGAAGTCAAGTTGCATCCGCATGAGAATTTGCCAGTACTTCATGCCAACATTTGTAGGCAATGACACTTCAAATTGCTCAGAATTTGATGGGATCATTCGCAGTTTTTCTGAACAGCCTATAGATCCAGGTATCGACTGGATATCTCTCTGCATTAAACTCATAGTGCTCACAGTTCTTATTGGAGCGAATTATTTTGTGTACAATCTTACTATGAAAGAGTACAAAAAATATCAAATATCACAGAAAAAGAACCCTCAAGAAGTATCTTTATCAGTGATTTCCAGAACATCATCAGAGGTTTCCAGAGCATCATCAGAGGTTTCCAGAGCATCATCAGAGGTTTCCAGAGCATCATCAGAGATTTCCAGAACATCATTAGGGGGTCCCACAATATCATCAAATACTAACAGTAGTCATGGTTTCATGAGCTCCGTTGCTCGCGATAACGCTGATGAACTTATATGCTAATTCCCCAATATCCCAAGTGCGGTCAGTCACTAAGTAAGACTACAAATTAGTTTTGTTAAATTTTGTTTGTGGTTCAATATTTTGGTCATGCTGGGGTTTTGGGGTTTTGGGGTTTTGGGGTTTTGGGG